ATAATAATAATAATTATTATTAATTATTATTATAATAGTAAATACCATTTGAAAAGTGCATATAGCGCCCAACAGCAATGCTCCTGCCAATGCAGGGCATAAGTTTAGCGCACATTTTTTTACCACAGCTATGTCCCAAGAGTAGCCCCCAAATGGGCATAAGTCTACATAAAATTAGACTTCCTTTCAACTTGCTCTATCAGACAAAAGTATAATTTTTAATGGTGGTTGGTTAGTGGGTGCTCTGGTGTAGTTTATTCCTTCTTTCCTATCAAACATAATGTATTATCTTTATCTAAGCATCCGAATCGAAAAGCCATGAAGGTCTCACTAAAACCTAAACTAAAAATAAAAATAAAACTACATTTTCAATAAATTTAAACGCACCTGGCAACTGTCTATCTGACCGTTGTCTGCAGTGTTACGTAGCAGTTAGGCGCTTCGCCATCACATGCAGCAGACCTGAGTTCGATTCTCGTGCGGGGAGAAATTTTATCGAGTATCTCGGTCTCTCTATTGGGATTTTGTATACTCTGAACTCGAATCGATCTTCACAGGAAGGGTCGAACCCTGCCTTCTAATGAGTGATCTAGAATTTTGTCGGTTAGGGCGTTAAACTTAATACGTTAAAAAATTCCCGCAACTACATTGTTTGTTTTGGTGTTTTACAGCGCTGAAAACTGCATAGGGTCATAATAGTCATATAAGCGTGCGACACATGAAGCATTTTTAGTTTGGTAGGATTTAATTTTGAATTTTTCCCGGGTGACGACCGAAGCCTACTACTTGTCAATTTTTAGACCACCCAGGAATCTTTAAAGTTATTTAATGATGTCAGAGACAAGAGGCGACTGTTAGGTGTTTTAGAGGATAGACCATGTCAGAGGGTAATCCTGCTCATTACATCTGGCAGACAATTCAAGGGCAACAATTACATGTACCCTCCAAAGCAACATGCTTTACTACACGTAGCCTATTGTTATGTCATGAGTCCTCGTTTCAAGTTCCAGGAATATAGAGACTTTCTATGAGGAACAGTGCCCTTTTTATAAGAGAAAGAGAGAGAGAGAGAGAGAGAGAGAGAGAGAGAGAGAGAGAGAGAGAGAGAGAGAGAG